TGGCCATGCATTTATCCCTGCCTGTCAGCCATCAATGAGGCACTGCTAGCCACCAATGATGGCCGGCAGAACACCTTATCTCAGCAGATTTCACGCCAGATCTTTTGAGCTAGCTGGTTTTCACTCATCCCTCCTCTCAAGCTTATTTAACATGCTTTGCATTGCATGCCTCTATATAAGGAGGGGCTCCTTCCCCTTTATAGAGGTTCAGCAACTTTAGAGACAATACATCTATATATATATATATATATATTTCTCACTCTCTCTCTCTATATTGAGCTAGTTTGTGCCTTAAAGTGTATTTTTTCTTCACTTTTGCACTACAACACCTAGTAACACACCACCATCTTTGAGCTGAGGTTCTTGGGAGTGTTATTTGAGCTCTGAAAGTTAGCTTTTGCCTTAGAAGCTGCTGGTTTCAAAGTTGTGCTTCAAGGGTGAGTGTATTCCCCTTTTAAGCCTTTGTTTGTATTCCATATTGGCCATCCTTGCATATTGTTTTAGGCCTTGCTTTCAACTAAAAAAATTTCTATATTTAAGTGCTTATGATGGTTGTTTAAGGCCTCTTTGGTGTTGAGGGTGTTCTACCCTCTTGTGTACCTTGTTTGGCCTTGTTTTGAGACATCTCTTAAGGTCCTTGTGGCAACCTTTATTTGGCCTTTTAACCACTGAAATCCAATGGATTTTTAGTGGTAGAAATGTGGTTTTGAGGCCTCAATGAGAGGGGGGTGGTCCCCTCTCTTCTTGTCTTGTTTGTTTGTGTTATTGGCCTATCAAATGAGCATGCATTTCTATCCTCTTGAGGCTTAGTGTGAGCATGTTTTTGTGAGTTTTTAGGTCTAATATAACTCTATTCATGGCTGGTTTGGTCACCTCATGTATGCTTTTTACAATTGTAGTGTAAATTTGCCATTTAGCCTTGTGTGTTCAATACCATGATCCATCATGCTAGCCTATTTTGGTTCTATCTCAGCATGTTTTCGGTGTTATTTTGGCATGATACAACTCTGTTTTTGGTTGGTTAGAGCATCCCTCATTTGCTTCTTACACTTGTAGTGTAAACCTTGCTCACTAGCCTAGTATACTTGGTGTTTTGGCCCATTATTCTAGCATGTTTTGGCTCTATTCTAGCAAGTTTTCACTCATGTTTCAACA